CCATCCAATTTGGTAAAATCTAATGTAGCAACAAACCAGAGCCTCCCACTGAGCTAAAAGCAGAGCTGGTATTTTAAATGTTATAGGGCTGTAACCTAAGCACTAGAGGTAAGCGTGGGGAGGGGGGCAGAGATGGGGGGGAATGTATGACACAGTTGTAACCCAACACGGTGGATTCCCCAGCATAAACAAAATCAAATGGGAACGTGGGGTGGTTTGGCCTTCCAACAACTCCAGTTTCAAAATAGTTACAGATTTGTGCTCCTGAGAAACAAGACTTCACATGGAACAATGGGACAACGCAGGGCTCGACTGAAGCCAAAGTTCACCGGTGCTGAATCTTGTGGATCCAGCTTAATGATGGAATGAGCCCAAGACATTTTGCTGCCTGAAGAGGACAAAATGGCGCCTCCCCCCAGTTCCATGTATACAAGCCAACTGGACTGGCATTTGTGTCTTACTTCAACACTGGTTGATGGGGCAGCACCCTCCATGACACCAAACAGCAGCAAGTTAGCTTAGGGGGAACAAGGCAGGCTATTTTGCACACCTAGCACTGTCTTCCATGCCTCGCCATGGAAGACGCGCGCGCGCGCACACACACACACACACACACACACACATCCCACACAGGCACCTGCTGCCTGAGGCATCTACCTCACTCTGCCTAATGATAGGCCAAACCTTACTAGGAATTAGCAGGGCATCCAGAAGTAGGCCTCTTGTATAAATTAACTGCGGGGAAGATGTGAACCTACTGAAAGTCAGAGTGATAAGATGCCTAGCATCCCTCTAGATCATGGAAAACTGATGCTTGGGGAAAGTTCAGTCTTTGCTGCAAAATTATACACTATTAAGGATGCCTATCTTGAGAGACGAAGGAAGAATCCAACACCATTCCTCAAACTTTTTCTGCCTCTGAACTAGAATTCTGACATTTCTTCCAGTGGTGCTGTGTACTACTCCCATAGAAGCTTCTGGAAAACTGTGATGAGGGAAGGCTACAAAAACAAAATGAATAAAACAAGCCATTGGCCAGCCAGCACAATTGTCTTTTGAAATACGAATGGGTAAGGCACATCTCTGTTATCCGTTGCCTGAAAGATGCAGGCAGACCTTCTCCATGCTTGCTGTCATGAGCATATGTTTGACCATATGCCTAGCGTGCTGTAATTCACCAGCCACTTCCAGTTCCCTCAGCCTGCTTCAAGATAACATGGACTACAAAACTTCACTCCATCTCACGTAACTTCTGCCACCAAGCAGCGCTTCTCGTTGAAAATTCCCTGTCAGCATGCAGCCGCGATAAAGTGCTGGTTTACTTACAAGCCTTTCTGATTTTTCACCACGTTGTTTTTGCTCAGACATAGGAACTCTCCACCTTTCTGCTCCACCCTTGCTAAATATGCTGGTTAAAGGCCACCCGATGTAACCTCAAGTATTAAAAAATGGACAAGTTATATTGGAAGGAGAGGGTTGGTTGTGACTTGTGACGAAGTGGGCCCCCCTTTTATACCACCTCAGCCAGCTGCTTCTATAAACAGCCTTCTCTACCTGCCCTTTGAGCAGGCTGTTTTATTTAGGAAATCAAGAGGCTTATTCACAACCACACTGCCACATAAAAACAGATCAGCACGCCAAAAATGGATTTGCGAAGCAGAATTAAGGAAGCAGAAGGGTAGAGTTTTACTAATTACTGGCACACTTCTTAAAGACCAGAATACACAAGATGCAGATCTGTGAAAGGAGGATAGTTAAGAGAGTTTAAATTCAGCCATGGCACATCCTGAATTGGATTGGACCCCAGAAACTGGAGCAGGGGCGATTTAGCAGCCTTTCCCAAGTGTTACATCACAATTTAAATCACCTCGCCTCTCAACAGCCTGCTGTTAGTCCTACTGGGGCAGTGGGGGGAGGGGGGAGAGAAATACAATACAGGCTACTTAACTTGAGGTGTGATCCTATGCACACCTACTCAGACATGAGGGAGGACAGTCACAAATAGGGCCCCATTCTGCCACCCTGATCTGCTCAGGTTGTGGGGTGCATTTGTGGCCGGCTTGGCCAAGAAGAGACAGTCTCTAATGCAATCACATAGAAATCACAGAACTGTAAAGCTGAAAGGGACAACAAGGATCATCAAGTCCAACCCACTGCAATGAAGGAATTTTCTGTTGTGGTGAGGACTGTAGGGTCTGCTCCCTCTGCAAGGCCTCTACCATCTGGCCTGGGGGACAAGGCTGGACTCACTGGAATGAACTCTTGGGGCAGTCCGTGTGTGTGTGTGTGTGTGTGTGTTTGCTATTGTTTCCCTGTTACAAGTGTCTAATGTGTTTTAAAACATTCTTATGCAGCTTTTAACCTTTGGGGCTTTAAATTTTATCAGCCTTGTTTTGTTTTAGTTGGGTTGGGGTTGTTTTTAATGCTTGGGTGGGGCCGGGGGTTATTTAAATCTGTCTCTCATTGTAAATTGCGTTTCTTTTTAAAAGCAATTCTATTGGCTTATTGATTTGTTTATGGTAGTTTGTATAAAGTTGCTTTTAAGTTGGGGACTGCCCCGGGAGTGGTCCCTAGCCAACAGAATGGCTGAGGCAGGTTCCACTAGGGGGGATGTGCTGGGACACTTGATCACATGCAGCTTGGAACCCTAGAACATTAAAACAAAATTTTAAAACATTTAATATATTTTTTAAAAACCCTATGTGGCATACAACTTAAAAACAGTTAACAATATCATTTAAACAAAAACATAATATAAAACCAGAAAAGCTGTTATGTAAAAGCATATAAAACCAAATAAAAAATGGGAATTCACATAGACAGAAACAGAGTCTGATCTTATGAGTCGGACTTTCCCTGACCCATTGGTCAGGCAAAGCCTGACTCCTAAGACCAGGCCCTTTTTTGTCCGTATGAATTTCCTGAATACCTGCTTTTAATTAGTTATTATTTTATTTATATTTGAGGGGATCAAATAGCCTGCAAAACCAGATACTGTGATGGAGAGAGAGAGAGAGAGAGAGAGAGAGAGAGAGAGAGAACACACATATTATGGACATTGTGGCATTGCTATACTTCCAAATATTTGAAGAAAAAAACCCACTATTGTGAAGTGCATATCCTTACAGTGCAATCGTATACATGTCCACTCAAAAGTAACTTGCATCAAGTTCAATAGGGCTTACTCCCAGGTAAATGGTTTTACAACTGTAGCCTTCATGTCATTGCAAAACCACTGCTTTTTAGCAGAGCTGGAGAACTCTTTATGACCTCTCTAGTCTAGCCTGTTCTTGATTTGTGATTGTTTATAGCTGGGCAGCAGCTATTACCAGATCTTTCTTACAAACTGATTTCTGAGACAGAATGGACAAGCAAACACTGCCTGGGCATTCTGAGCGATAGCCCATATACAACCTGTATATACTAATTCATTTTTACATTTAGGGAATTTGTACCTTCCCTTTCCATTCAACAGAACACTGGAGGTTGTTCACAAACTCAGCAAGAAAAAAGAACATGTAAATGCAATATGCATAAATTATAGAATGTGATTGCCAAGCAGGCTTGAATTTCAGTGCATCTCACTTTAGAAATGCAGCGTAATAATAATCAAGCTACTGCAGTAGAGAATCCTGGTTTTGAACAAGTTTGGTCTTACCACGAAGCAAAGTGAAGCAGCCATCACTGCCTACGGATCTTGAGCGACGCCATTTTGTTTTCTCCACATCAGTGTTTCGTGAATAGTAACAAGGCACCATTTTAACTTTTTTGCCTCATGTGTGAAAATGTGTGAGAGGTTTTTGAAAACCTCACTGTTGTCCCATAAAAATTCAGGGAACAATTAAACCACCAATACATGTGTTGCCCCTTAACGGTACCTCATCCTCTGCCTCATCTGTGGAAGGCCCAACTCTGCCATAAGGCCTGCACATATATTGAATATGCTCAGCCTAGGGCTTGTTCCTGTGCGTAAATGGAAAGGAAAGTGTGAATTGGTGCCCTAGAGATTCTCTCTTCGATTCTTTCTGAGACCTTCGCATGGAGGGGGCATTGGTACAATGGCACGACAGCATGTAGCTCTCAAGCATATGTGTGGAGAAGCTGATGAGTGATTATGGGTTAGAGGGAGAGAGAGAGGTAGCTGGGAAGCTTTCACAATGCTTCAAAGCAGATTTGACTTTGACCCCTGCATCACTCCACCACCTATGCTTCTCATTTTATGACCTTGCCATGCTGCGTCTCTTTTGGGAGGCCTCCAGCTTATGAGATGCTGCTTCGCAAGCAGGAGAGACAGATGGCAGCTTTATAGATTTGGGGTAGGGGGTGGGGTAGGGTGGGGTGGGGGCAGGGCACTAGGATGAACGGAGAGTGATCTGCCCCCAAAAAATAGGCTGGAAAGAAAAATATATCAAGGTACTCTTTTGTTTTTGTTATTTTGTCTGCACATTTCAAACAGAACTGGTTTGCGTACACTAAATCGTTTGTGCAGATATCCAACATGGAAATAACCCTTGCCACTCGCAGAGATAACAATGGTCTTATTCACAGAAACCTTTTGTCAAGTCTTGTTTTCGAAGTCTTGACAGAAGGAGGGGGGGCGTGTTGAGAAAACACCCATGCAAGGTATTATTGGGAAATAATTTTCATTTAGGGGGAAAAAAATCTCTCTCTCTGGGCAATGCATAAGCAGCCATAAGCACTCATCCAAGACTAACCACCCCTGCATTAGGAATTCCTAGCCACTGCTTTTAAACTGTGCTGTAGTTTATTGTTTGCTCTAAATCAAAGCCGAATACCACTGTGTCTGTTAGAAAATCATTACAGTGCCATTAAAGTCGGAGTCGCAGGCCTAGCAAACATGGAATCCCCCCCCCCACCTGAGTGGGAGGTGGGTCTGCAGCAGGCTGCCTCCTCGCCTGATTATGTGCAAACCAGTTCTGGTCAAGAGATACAGCTGTCACAAAGCACTCAACAGATGGCAGTTGCCGGGTGAAGGCTCATCCATATTTGGGCGCTCGGGTGACATCTGAGAGCCTGTGTGTTCCATAAATGCTCTCATGCAGCCTTTGCAATGCAATGGAAGGCTTTGCAATGCAGAATGGCAACATTCATCTTTCCCAGGAATAGAGATAAATTGAACTGCCCTTATGAAAAAGCACTGCATAAAATGCTCAAATTTATTGTCCTTTAAAACTTTTAACTGTTATGGAGAGAGGTGGCTGGAAAAATGGAGAGGCTGACAAATTGGGAGATGGATCCCTTTTTTACAGAGATGAAAAACAGTGGTAAATTCGTATTTTAGCCTTAAAAGGTTCTTTAAAGATTGGTTTAACTCACAAAGAGCAGCAATTTCTCTCCTGATGCAGGAAACTGTGAGGAAGTAGAGAGCTTTGGAAGGCAATCGTACTGATCAATTCCTTTACAAAGAAACTTAAAGCAGCCAAAATAATACAGAGTTTCTTGGGGCTTTTCATGCACTGTAAACCTACCTAGTGGCTTTATTTTAAATTAAGTTTTAAAGTTAATTCATACTGGAGCCTGGATGCTGCTCAAACAGATGCCTTGTATCAAGCAATAGAATTGTGCTGTTTTAAAATGCCTCTCTGTTTCTTTCAGGAAAACCCTCTGCCTGTGTTGGACTAGAGCCTGGGAGAGCTGTGTTCAAATTCCCACTCAACCATGAAATTCACTTGCCAATCTCAGGTCAGTCACTGTCTCTCAACCTAACCTACCTCATAGGGGTTGTTGTGAGGATAAAATGAGGAGGCGAAGAACCACATAAGGCACCTTGAACTTCTAGGAAAGGTGGGATATAAATGTAATAGGGACACAGGTGGCCTAAACCACTAAGCCTCTTGAGATTGCCAATCAGAAGGTCAGCGGTTCAAATCCTCTTGATGGGATGAGCTCCTGTTGCTCTGTCCCAGCTCCTGCCAACCTAGCAGTTCAAAAGCATGATAGCGCAAGTAGATAAATAGGTACCACAGCCACGTGAAGGTAAATGGCATTTTTGTGCACTCTGGCTTTCGTCATGGTGTCCCGTTGCTTCAGAAGCGGTTTAGTCATTCTGGCCACATGACCTGGAAAGCTGTCTGTGCACAAATGCTGGCTCCATTGGCCTGAAAGCGAGATAAGCGCCACACCCCATTGTCACCTTTGACTTGACTAAACTGTCCAGGTGTCATTTACTTTATTTTACCTTAAATGTAAAAATAAATAAATGTACAGAAACGCCTGCAAACGCCAGTGCAATGTTATAAATGTCTACTCATACGTCAGCCCCTTTAAGTTCAACGGAGAAGGACTGAGTGGATGAAAACTGCATCCTATATTGGTTATGACATTATTTGTGTGATTGGCAAATGCTTTCTTCCCATGCCAATTTATCTGGTTGACATAGTTACCGCACACCTGTCCTGGCATGCATAAGACACACCAATGCCAAAGGCTTATGCCCTATATTATACACAAAGTGTATCCTGCACCTAGTACAATATATTGTGGCCTCCACTGTGTAATAGATGAGACACCCATTTGCAATCTCAGGGCATGGATGAAATCAAAGGAATATCTCCCCCCACACACACACCTTTCATTTCACACCTAGACAATAGCCACTTCCTTTTACACGTGTGTTCTTAAAATTCCTTCCTTCAGGAGAAAGGGTGGGATATAATCATCATCATCAAGTGTTCATACATGTCGTTTTGTTCAGAAACAAGGCTCTAATTTGATAGCTTTGAACTGAATGAAAAAGCCTTAAGGCATCTCCTTCCTCTTTATTCTGCCCGAGTATTGCTTCTGCCCCAAAATCCTGCCCTGATGGTGCTACTGCTGCTGCTAAATCTGCTCCAAAAAAAAAAAAAAGGTTTTTCTCCAGTGGGTGGTTCTGCATTTCCCTCCTGCTGTTTCCAGAAGAACCTGATCTAAAAAGAAGTGCTTTCAGAGGCTGGTTGTTCTGTGGTAATCCTCTTCCTGCCCTGTCCTGAAGAACTTGCTCCAAAAGTATCACTTTCAGAAACATGGACAAGTGGTGAGTCAAAATGACATCACTGTTTGTTTATTTGCACAACTACATTTTTTTGAGTGACCACAAGCAGCAAGTATAGCTAATTAAAGCCAGCTAGTTATTTAATAAATTCTTTCCCATAAGAAGTTCCCATAAGCTGCTTCCTTCATAGACATGCCCATTTCCCAACAGCCTTGTCTTAAGGTCATGGGAACCTTCAACCACAACGCCTACTTTCCACTTTGGTAAATGATTAAGTGGCTTCCAGTTGCTTCAGGGAAATGCCACCCCAAGTGTTCAAATGTAGATTAATTCCAGGTCACTTTTTGGCTGTTAGAATGTTTGTTTGGTGCAGGGTTATGAGGCTGAGCTGTGAACCAAGATAACACTAGTTCTAATCACACCCCACACACCCCACCACAAGTTCATTAGGAATGAATAGGCAAGCCACTATTTTCATCTCAGCTCTCCTCCATTCTACAATATTGGTCCTACCTTACAAGGGAGTTGTAAAGATAATTACGGGAAACACTTGCTGAATTGCAAAATCACTAAATAAATGCTTAAAGAACCACCCAATACTGTTTGCTTGGAATAAGCTGCAGCATGTTCAATGGGATTTGCACCCTAGGAAGTGTTTTTAGATATGGAGCCAAAGTATTAATGTATTTGTACCAGGCATTTGATGCAACATAATTCACATAGATGCATATGGTTTTCTCTTTTACACTGTATGTGGTTCTTTTGTTGTGTTTTTTGGGCGGGGAAGGGGAATCATACAGTTTATCTTTAAAAATGACAAATGTTGGGCACTGCATACCCATATTTCTCACTGTCTCCCTACAAGCTCTATTGCTTTGATCACAGTCTGATTGTTAGCACCATCAGATCAGCAGATCTGATTGTTAGCACCATTTTCTAGTGTGATCTGAAAACTAGATACACCAGACAAAAGTATTACTTTATGAAGCATATACAGCCTGATGTATAATGTAGGGTCAGTAACTAAGGTTAGAAACCTGCATGTTTCATGACAATACCTCATCAACTGTAGCTCTACCAGTCTTCAGATTGGAATAAAAATGTAATGTTTACTTCTGAGAACTTTATACCCGACAGAAGACTGGCATGTTAGACAAAGGATATTCAGGCCATGCTTGGATATCACACTAAATCACAGGGTAGTATTCAACTAATTTTTACTCTGCAGACCCTTTGAAAGTAATGACCACCCACTAATTATTATTATATTATTATTATATTTTTATTATTATTATCCAATGAACCCAAGGTGGTGTACATGGTTCTCCCTGCCTTGTGAGATAGGTTAGGCTGGGAGACCGTGACTGACCCAAAGTCACCCAGTGAACATCATGGCTGAGTCGTGATTCAAACCCTGATCTCCCAGGTGGTTTAGTGTGACATCTGAATATAATTTCCGTTATTGTTCTGTGCAACTCTACAAAATAATTTCAGAGCTGCTGCTAGGGTGGGCAATAGCACAAAAAGCATCCAGACCCTCCAAGTGTCCCTATTTTCCAGGGACAGTCCTGGATTTACCAAAGCTGTCCCTGTTTCTGTTTTGATCCCGGAATGTCCCACTTTTCCTTAGGACATTCCTGTTTTCATCGGAGAAATGTTGGAGGATATGAGCATCACATAACAAATTGCCAGTTCTTGAGCTGGGTATATGCTCATCATCACTTACTGTCTGATGAAAGCCCAGATTACATTTGTTCAAGTTGCTGCTGTGGCTTTAGCCCTAGCCCTTCTGTCAGCGTTTTGCTGTGTGATTGTAAAGAGCAACCCTACGCATGGCAGAAGGCAGATGCTGGCGATTTAAGCAGGGCAACCCACCACAGCGCTTTTACTCAGCTGATCCTTAATGATTTAGCATTTAATGCAGTTCATCTTTCATAATGCAGAGTTCAGAGAGACACAGCTGCTACTGAGGATGCAACAATATTGACCTCCCAGCCAAGGGCAAAACATGGCTTCTTTCATTGTCTTTGCCCCTGGAACCATAGGACCCCTCAGCTGTGCTCTGAAGGTGAAGGAGACTACAGTACTAAAAAATGAAACAATTAACTTCTCGTCAATGAGTTCTTCCCAAAGAAAAACTGTAACTCTGATTTTGATACAATTAATTTTCATTAGAAACTCAGCCTCCTTCTCAAACTGTGGAAAGCAATCCATGCTATCCAATTATCCAGACCACTTTCAAAATTAGCCAGAGCATATGGCAAACCATGCTGATTGGGAATCAATTTCCTGAAGGTGTCATGGCCAGATCACCTTTGATGAGCTTTTGACTTAACTGTGGCCTCTGCCCACTGCAGAGGTGGGCAATCTATTAAGATGGTTCACCCCAGAGACTAATGGATCCAACTAGTTTTCAGAGAGCTCTGAGCAGTTTTCCATCTGGCTCATCAATTAAAGCACTGGTCAATATTTGGAACGCAAAGATGAGCCAGGAAGTTGACTTGAGTGCACTGAGCATCCTCTCCTGACTTGCAGAGTTCAGAAATCTCTGTGGTATACCTCAAAACTAGGAGCAAGGAGTAAGATGGCTTGAGTACAGGTGAAAAAAACTTCCTAGTGAATGTCACCAAACACTGGCATGCATTTACCGGTACATTTGAGCCTACTCAGTGGTAATGAAAGCGTTGAAGAAAGCTTGCTTCTCCACTGTGTCCTCAGTTGGCTGTCCAGCGGAGTTGTTTAAGAGTGGCTAAACGCTTATTGCATACTGGCCCTAGGGAGGTGATGGAGCCACCTAAAGCCCACTTTGATACGTTTGCTAAGTATTTTGAGGAGAAAACTGTTTCCCTCTCCTGGGATTTAGATTACAGTGGTACCTCAGGTTACATACGCTTCAAGTTACATACGCTTCAGGTTACACAGTCCGCTAACCCAGAAATAGTGCTTCAGGTTAAGAACTTTGCTTCAGGATAAGAACAGAAATTGGGCTCCGGCAGCGTGCCAGCAGCAGGAAGCCCCATTAGCTAAAGTGGTGCTTCAGGTTAAGAACAGTTTCAGGTTAAGAACGGACCTCTGGAACGAATTAATTACTTAACCCGAGGTACCACTGTACCATCATTGGTGCTGATGAAACTGCTGAGTACTTTCTTGTCCCATATTGCCTGGGAACATAGACATGACCATGGACAAGAAACTTGGCCAAGTTCATACAGCCACTTGTGGCTAACCATTGCCCCTCATGGGTTCTAACATTTGGCAGGAAGGGAACAGCAGGATAGGCCAGCAAAGTAATTAATGCCTCACTTCAACAAAGGGTGGTTCCAGGCTGCTATCTTCAGAAATGCTTCTCCCAGCATTAACCTACCTGGACCCTTGGAGCATCATCCAAGGCCCTACTCTGGGTCCCTCCTCTGAGAGGGTGACGATAAGGCAGAAGACCTTTTCAGCTGTGGTTCCCTACCTGTGGAACACTGTCCCCAGTGAGGTCCAACTGGCACCTTTACCGACATCATTTTGGCATCTGGTAAAGTTCTACCTTGTTTCCAGGCCTTTCGCAGATGGAGTTGATTTTGTTTTTATTTTTAGGGTGCTGTTAATGCTTCCTTTCGCTGTTTTTGGGTGGGTTTTTGTGTTTGTTGCGTTAGAAATTGTTAATGTTCATATGACACCCCCCCCACACACACACATTTGTGGTGTGAAGCAGAGATGTTTCT